TGATTGACTTATTTCACTCAGCATAATGTCCTCCAAGTTCATCCATGTTATGCGGTGTTTTGCAGATTCTACATTATTCTTTAGGGCTGCATAGTATTCCATTGTGTGTATGTACCATAGTTTGATTATCCATTCTTCAGTTGATGGACACCTAGGTTGTTTCCATCTTTTGGCTATTATAAATAGTGCTGCGATGAATATAGGTGTACATATGTCTGTTTTTGTCCTGGCTCTCACTTCTTTAGGATATATACCTAGTAATGGATTGGCTGGATCAAATGATATTTCTAACCCCAACTTTTTAAGGAATCGCCATACTGCTTTCCATGTTGGCTGTACCACTGTCCACAAGACTTTCTGTCTTGTGGAACTTTGTTACTAGTGCTGGGGCAAGATGGTATTTCATTGTTGTTTTGATTTGCATCTCTCTAATGGCAATGATCATGAACATTTCTTCATATGTTTGTTGGCCGCCTGAATATCCTCTTTGTTGAAGTGCCTATTCATGTCTTCAGCCCATTTTTTAATTGAATTATTTGTCTTTCTGTTGTTGAGGTATTGGAGTTTTCTATATTCTAGAGATAATCCCTTGTACAATATGTCATTGCCTAATATTTTTTCCCAAACTGTAGGTTCTCTTTTGACTCTTTTGGAGAAGTCTTTGGAAGCACATAAAAATTTAATTTTTAGAAGGTGCCATTCATCTACTTTATCTTCTACTGTTTGTGCATTTTGGGTTATGCTTGATAGTCCAATCATGCCATATATTAGGGCCTCTAAATTTGCCCCTAATGACCCTCTTGCTTTCTTTATGGTTGATGTTCTTGATGTCATCCTACAATTCTTCAGGTTTTCGATCATTGGTGTTCAATGAATCAAATCTATTCTTTAGATGGTCTCTAAATTCAGGAGGGATATATTCAAGGTCATATTTTGGCTTTTGTGGACTTGCCTCAATTGTCTTCAACTTCAAGGTGGACTTGCATATGAGCAGTTGATGGTCTGTTCCACAATCATCTCCTGGCCTTGTTTTGGCTAAAGATACTGAGCTTTTCCATCACCTCTTTCCATAGATGTAGTCCATCTGATTCCTGTGTACTCAGTCTGGTGAAGTCCACATGTATAGCCACTATTTGTGTTGTTGAAAAATGTATTTCCAATGAATAAGTCACTGGAATTGCAAAATTCTATTATGCAATCTCCAGCGTTATATCTGTCACCAAGACCAAATTTTCCAACTACTGGTGATTCTTCTTTGTTTCCAACTTTTGCATTCCAGTCACCAGTGATAATTAATGGTCAATTTCAGACTGCAGAAGTTGATAAATATCTTCAATTTCCTCATTTTTGTTTTTGGTGATTGGTGCATAAATTTGAATGATAGTCATATTAATGGGTCTTCCTTGTAGGTGCATGGATATCATCCTATCACTGACAGCATTGTACTTCAGGATAGATATTGAAACATTTTTTGTGATGATTAATGCTATGCCATTCCTCCTCAAATTGTAATTCCCGGCATAGTAGATCATATGGTAGTCTAATTCATAATGACCAAAACTAGTCCATTTCAGCTTACAAGTGCCTAGGATATCAATCTTTTTGTGTTCCATTACATTTTGGCAACTTCCAATTTTTCTAGATTCATACTTCATACATTCCATGTTCAAATCATTAATGGATGTTTGCAGCTGTTTCTTCTTATTTTGAGTCATGGCTCATCAGCAAATGGAGGTCTCAAGAGCTTTACTTTATCCATATTAGTAAGGTAGATTCTACTCTAATGATGTAGCTCTTTCCCAGTTGTAGTGTGAGAGCCTTCAAACCTAAAGGGCTCATCCTCCTGCACTGTATTGGACAATGTTTCTGATTTATTCATAAAGTTGCACCATAATGTATCAGGTAATGTATCTCTGTTATTCATAAAGTTTTCCCCAGCCAATTCTTTGAGAAGTGGGTGGTCACTTCCTTCTTCCTAGTCTGTCTCAGTCAGTAAGCCATGTTGAAAACTGTGCACCATGTGCAACTCTGCTGATGTTTGAAACACTAGTGGCACAGCCTCAAGTCTCACAGCAACATACAAGCCACTACAGTATGACAAACTGACAGACAAGTTTGTCTCCCTTACCTGTTCAAAACCTCTCTCCCCTCCCCTTTCCTGGAACCTTGCCACTGCTTGCTCTGTCATCCCCCCCCCGGCTTTCCCCTGCTCTCCTGCCTCTTGGGGGTGGGGCCTGGGTCCCTCCCCCTACCTGGATCCCTGCCCCTGCTGAGAGATGCTGAGATACCACCTTACCCCAACTAAAATGGCACCTATTTTTTTAAAAAATAAATTAAATAAATAACAATAACTGCTGGCAAGGATGTGCGATTGGAACACTTATCTATTGCTGGTAAGACCATAAAATTGTACAATCACTATGGAAAATAGTATGTCACTTTCTCAAAAAACTAAAAACAGAACTACTCTAGATCCAGCAATCCCAATCCTAGGTAGTTGTTGTTGTTAGGTGCTGTGGAGTTGGCTCCAACTCATAGCAATGCTATATACAACAGAATGAAACAATGCCCAGTCCTATGCCAGCCTCACAACCCTTCCTACACCTGAGCCCATCGTTGCAGCCACTGTGTCAATCCATCTCGTCGAGGGCTTTCCCCTCTTTTCATTGATCCTCCACTTTACCAAGCATGATATCCTTTACAGGGAATGGCCCCTTCTGACAACATGACCAAAGCAGGTGAGACAAATTCTGGTCATCCTCACTTGGAAGGAGCATTCCAGTTGCACTTCTTAAACAGACATATGCACATCTATATTCATTGCTACTTTAGTCATAATAGTAAATAAATGGACAGTGCCTATTAACACATGAATGGATAAGCAAATTGTGGTATATACACACAATGGGAAAGGAAAAAAAAAAGCCAGAGAAACTGGAATAGTAGAGAAAAGAGGATTCCCTAAGACTATCACCCTGAGGCATTCTTCAAACCTAGAACCAAGCCTATTCCCTGAGATCTCAATTTGGGGAAATAGCAGAGTGCCACATAAAATAAAAGTTATTACTCATAAAATCAGCCATTGGTATGAGACCAAAATGGCAACAATTACTCAAAAGCAATGAGGAGATGATAAGGGGGAAGGGAAATTAGAGTACCACAAAGAGAACACAGTGAATGTCTACACGTTGTAACGAAAGTTGCTGAACAATATGTGGAAATTATCAAATGAGAACATGCTGTGTAAACTTTCACCAAAAACTCAACAAAATACTTTTTATAAAAACTACACAGATCGTGGATTAATGGAGAAGAAATTCATGACATTCTGCTCTGTCTAGCACAACCACCACAAAAATATTGGTTTCCACTATCACAGTGGCCACACAATCTCGGTGATGAGCAGCAGAGATGGATCCTAGGGCACCAAGACCAAGCCCAGGAGACTATGCATCTGCCAGGGACTAGAGCTCCTCATCACACCTCTGCAGTGATCAGTTAGGCTACAATAAATATCCTTCCTGAATAGATGACATTTCACGGGGAAAAGGTGTTCACAGCTCATTGTGTGTACTTAAAATTGTAATATTTAAAATATGTCATTATAACATGTATTCCCAGTTTCTCCATTTATTTGCACATGTGGAATTACACTTTTTAAAAAATCATACAGATATTAAAAGAGGTGTAAAATAGTATGTTTGCTTATTAAGGCATATTAATTAATATTTACTTTTGTATGTTTCTTTCTGAACCAAATTAGAAATGATTTGGTCTAGTTAAACTGTTAAGATATTATTAAAATTTCTAATAATATTTGCTCTATGGAAATTCATTGCCCTGTATCCTCTTCAAAAGAATAAATCTTTATATATATATATATAGAGAGAGAGAGAGAGATAATTATATTTTTATTTATTATAGATGATAGTTCATGGGAAAAAGATGCTATATAATCTTTCATAAATTCTCAATGGTAAAATAATGGCATTTACAGTCAGGAAGTCTTAAACTAGCCATTCTCACTGAAAAAGAAAGAAAATCCCTCAGATTATAAGAATAAGCTATTTCACCAATATTCATATTATTAGGAAAAGACTGTTTCAAACCTGACTGAACCACAAATGACCCAATGCTATTTCAAATGTTAACTAGAACATGAGTAGCGAATAAGGAGGAAGACTTACCCGTAAGTCCTTCTCATTGTTGACTTGTCAAAAAGTAATTCACTATAAGGCAATTTCTTAAACTTATCTCTGCCGACAGCCACATAAAACTGCCCATTCTCCAACTCTGCCCCACTTTCAATAAGTTTTCCTTCTAAAGTATAAAGTCTGTCAAAATATGAATGCCAATAATTAGAATATAACAAGCATTTAAAGAGTTACTTAAAATTGCAAAGTAAATAAAAACTTTCTGTTATTAATTTGGTTCATTTGTCACTGTTCTAATTATTGAGTTATAAGTGTCTGGTAGCCATTACATTCAAGTAAATGCTAAAGTTATAATGTAGATACAGTTACTATCTGGTTGTAACATGTTTCATTCCAGTAAGCTTGACAATCTGACACAGAGATCCCCTATTACTGCCATATTAAGGGGGGAAAAAAAGACTTGTACAGGTTGTGGTGCTTTAAACAAAGCTCAGCTTCCATTGAAGATCAATTCTTCTACTTATATTTTGTGAGTACTTATAAAATTTAATTTCTTCATGTATTTGTCAGGCTGACAAAGCCTCTAACTACATTCTGTGCAAGAACAGGCACCAGGCAAAAGTATTACATCCAAACAAACACAGATCTGGGTCAGGAAAAAAAAAGAGGTGAGAGGGCAGGAGAGAAAAGAGCCCACTGCCAGTATTAATGATGCAGAACCGCATAGCATTCATGCTTCTTTTTTTTTTTTTCTTTGCCCTCCCTCATAAGCAAGAGAGTGAACACTATATCTTCCCAGAATCGAGGGATTTCACAAGAACCTCCCTTTACTGTAAAACAACTACTCCAAACTACCATTAATACATTACTTAGTAAAAGAACAGTGATAATTTTACTACATGATTTAACATGTCTGCAGAATTCTTTTTAAAGAATAGGAAAAAACAGACTATGAAAACTAAAACAGAAAATGCATATTATTGAAGATTATAAATAAGAGTGAGTAACTGGAAGGATTTTAAGGTCATCATAAAACAATTCTCAAGCTTCTTATATTACATAATAAATGTTAGTGACATTTGCAAAGGAAAATAATTCATTGGTCTGTTAGCAGGTTTACTGATTATATATATGGCCATATTATATGGTGGGATGAAGTACAATGAAAATGGCTGCCCAATTTCCTGAAATGTGCTTATAGTTACTTAGTATACAGCTACTAACCAACACCAAACCCACTGCCATTGAATCAATGCCAAATCATAGTAATCCTATAGGACAGAGCAGAACTTCCCCATAGGGTTTCCAAGGCTATAAATCTTACAGAAGCAGATTGCCTCATCTTTCTCCTGTGGAGGGGCTGATGGATTCAAACCACTGACATTTTGGTTTGCAATCAAATGCTTTAACCACTATGCCACCAGAGCTCCTTATACAGCTATACTAAAGTCCTTCTCTTTACAACATTGTGTTAATAACATTAGACACCAACAAGTCTAAATATTAAGGCACTCTGGTGGTGCAGTGCCTAAGGCATTTGACTGGAAACCAGAAGATTGATGATTCAAACCCACCAACCATTCCACGTAAGAAGATGGAGCAATCTCCTTCTGTAACACTTAACTCAGATTTCCATTTTTCCGGACTTGACCTAAACCAAACAGCTCTGCTGGTATAGCGGTTAATGAATTCAGCTGCTAACCAAAAGAGGTGCTGTCCAAACCCACCACCTACCAACCCCCATCCCCGGGATAAAGATGATGCAGTCTGCTTCTACAAAGATTTATAGCCTTGGAAACCCTATAATGGCAGTTCTACTCTGTCTGATAGTCACTAAGAATAGGAATTGACTCAATGGCAGTGTGTTTGTTTGGGTTTTTTTTTTTTTCTTGTTTTTTTTTTTTGGTTTTGTCCTAGACCAAGATTTCTAAACAGTGGCGCACTATTGTTGGAAGGATACAGGAAGGCTGTCTTGTATATTGTAGGATGTTCGGGAGCATGCCTAGTCTCTGCTCACTAGTTGCCTGTAGAACCCTCCCTTCTGTCAAGCCCAGGGATCCCCAGGGACTAAATCACCCCTGGTTGAAAACCACTGACTGAGACTCAGACCCAGATCCAAACTATCTCCATTTTTCACTTGCTTTTGAAATAAGAAGATCAGAATTAGTACATAACTTTTATAGCTAGAAATTAAAAGGCAACACAGCCATAGACGCCAAAACAGTCAAGATTTAACTGGTTTCCTCTGCAGATAGGATGAGGGTATTGAATAAATTCTATCCTATGGTTTTAGCCCTTTTTTTTTTTTTTTTGGTCAGCATGACTCATGTTGACCTGCTTTCTTCCTTTGCTAAAAAATACAATGTACATCAGCACAGAGTTAGACAGATTTTTATGGGATGCCTTTGATATTGTAATATCCTGGTGGATTTTAACCTTTCTTTCAGTTAGCAGCCAGTAAGTTAAACATTTGCACTACCCAGGGACTCTATAAGAACTTGAAAGTAGGCGTGTACTCTGACAGTTGAGTACAATAGAGAGACTGGAGTAAAGATAGGATTCCAGAACTACTGATAAACTCTTGAGTGAATTTCAAATATCTGTGTATGTATTTTTAATAAAAATTTTCTTAATATATTGTATTTATGTATATATTATATATAATCCTCCCACCTAAAGGAAAATAAATCAGCCTCTGTCAAGGAATAATTCCCTAGATTTGAAAGCTATGGTTTTAATCTTTTCTTAAATTACAGAATCTGAGAAAATTCTTTTGATTACTCAAATTTTGACAACCCACTTAATATCCTCCTTCTCCAGCATCTTCCTTAAACCCACTAGCACTTCCTGATATCTGGCTGGTTTGTTTGTTTGTTTGTTTGTTTGTTTTGTTTTGTTTTGTTTTTTACCAGATATCAGATAATTTGTACCATCAAATAATCACAAATATTTCTTAATATTATGATTCAAGAAGTTGGTGCTCTCAAAAGAAAAAAAAAAAAAGGCCTCAACTAAAAAATGTTGATGTTTGCCCCGTTGCTCTAAATCAAAAGAATAAAAATAATTAATATTTATTGATGGCTACTACTATGTGCCCAGGAACTCTGCTGGGGCAATGGGTAAGGCATTTGGCTACTAATCAGAAGGTTGTTGGTTCAAATCCACCAGCTGCTCCACAGGAGGAAGATGAGGCAATCTACTTCCATAAAGGTTTACAGCCTTGGAAATCCTATGAGTCGGAATCTACTCCATGGTAGTGGGTCTGGTTTTTGACTATTATGTGCCAATGAGTGTTTTAAGGTCTTTATATGGATTACATTGCTTAAAACAACCCTATTAGATGAGTACTGTTATATAACCATTTTAGAGATTTAAAAAAAAAAAATGAGGCAGAGTGTAACTGGTGGACTGCAATTCAAACCTAGGAACAAGCAACTCCAAGCTTCCTGGAAATATCTTTAACAGTTCCAAATGCCATCCACTTGCAAGATTATTTCAACTTACCTATGGACAGCCCCACTCCTTAGAGTTATTTTTTCTGTGATCATTTGTAGTACATGATCCCACTGATTCAAAGCTTTTCTTGGGATGAGGAGGCGAGAAGCTGGGCTTACGAGGTCTCCATTTGCAATCAAGCTGGAAAAAAAGCAAAGCCCATGAACCAAATCTTTTGAAGTAGCTATGCCTTTGAAACAACAAAACAAATCCTAAACCAAAAGGAAACCAAGACAATTTTTATTTCAAATGCAAAGGGCTCCAACTTACAAGATAGTGCATGGTTCCTGGAGTGGTTTTCTAAAGCGAGCTGACACATTGATCCTGCTGTGGATTACTGGTTTTACCTATAAAAGCAAAAAAAAAGAAAGATAAATCATTGAGCTTACGTTAGTTTTCTTTTCTCCCCTGTGATAGGAAAAACTACAGGTTTCCAAAGAACTGGCTGAGACCTGTCTCAAAACCTTGCTTTGTTCCCCCACTTACTAACTCTCAGCTCACCCTCTATCAATAGTATATGCCCTTGATAAAGCTCTCAAAAAAAAGAAAAGCAAAATTTCACTTAAGCCCTGGGCATACTGCTCATGGTCTGTGCGAAGGAGCAGCAGGGGTATTATAAGAATCTTAAGTGAATTTTTAAGCAATGCTTTCTGTAAAACAAAAAATTTTAAATCCTATAAAACCTCAAACCCTGAAATGTCCCCCTCCTCCAGTCACAACATACTATGTTCTGCTTCTCTCCTCTCTCACTCTCATTATACCTATTTTCCATTGCTCCCACCAGGCCCTCCACCCCACCCTATTCTCTACGGTCAACTTTGTCTCAGCTTCACTTCCTCCCCTATCCACCTATCAACCACATGCCCACCAGCACCTTTGATCCCCACACCACTTGCATCTGCCTGGATCTGATCATCTCTCCCTCTTCTTTTGCTTCCAGGGCCCAGGTTGATGCTTAAAATAACCACACAGCCTAGTGACAGCCTTCACCTGAAAGAGGACTTTGGGCACCAGTTGGACTTCAGTGCTGTTCGGCCATCCTTCTGCTCCTCCCAAGTCAACAATGTTTACCATTCCCTACAGGGGATAGTCCAGCCCTAAGCTCTCAACCTAAACCCTAAATCCCACTCCTGATGTGCTCACTCTCAACAGATAATTTCCTTCCAAACTTCAAGAAAATAGAGACAAACAGCCAAGAAGACCTCTAAGCTTCCTTCGTCCTCCACATCCCAACTCATCCACATCTTCACTACTTCTCTCCTTTTCCTCCTGTCTCAGAAGAGTCCTTGTCTCTTAACAAAGCTAAGCCCACAACTTGATTTTCCCCCCTGCTGCCTCTACTTGTTCCATTAATTATCCACAGCCTCCTACAATGATAGGTTCGAGTATGGCAGTGATTGTGAGGATGGTGCAGGACTGGATAGTGTTTCATTCTGTTGTATATAGTACTGCTATGAGTCAGTACTGACTCAAGGGCATCTAACACCGCCACCTAGTGTCTCCAGTTTCTCCCTTGATCCTATGGCTCTCTCAAGTACTTCCAGTTGCCACTGAGTTGATTCCAATTCATGGTGACCCCATGTGTGAGAGAGTAGAACTGTGCTCCATAGGGTTTTTAAATTTTCAGAAGTAGATGCCAGGCCTTTCTTCCAAGTCACCTCTGGGTAGACTCGAACTATCAACCTTTCAGTTAGCAGCTGAGTATGTTTACCATTTACATTACCCAGGGACTTCTGTCAACTGAGCTCTGGTGGAGCAGTGCCTAAGGCATTTGACTGATACCCAGAAGGCTGGTGGTTTAAACCCACCAGCCACTCCTTGGAAGGAAGGTTGAGCAATCTAGTTTTGTAGTGGTACCACCTCAGAAACCCAAGGAAGGGTCCCTACGAGTCAGATCCAACTCGACAGCAGTGAGTGAGTTTTCTGTCAAGTACTATCCTTCCCCTATCTCTTCTCTGCATTATTCATATTCCACTTCATCCCACCCTGGCTGCTCTTCAGTCTTTTGCTATCTAGTTTCCACCTACATCACAGAAAGATAAAGCCCTACTCTCTGGTAGCATAGTGCCTAAAGCACTTGACTGCTAACCAGAAGGCTGGCGGTTCAAACCCACCAGCCACTCCTCGGAAGGAAGGTTGGGCAATCCTACTTCCGTAGTGACACTGCCTCGAAAACCCAAGGAGGGGTCACTATGAGTCAGGGCTGACTCGATGGCAAATAACATAAGAACCCTCATGACAAGCCACTGCTTACTTGGTTTCTTCATCTCCTACCAATACTGCTCTTGCCCAAATTCCTAGTTGTGCACATTAGTCAAACCAGTCAACTCTCCTCCACTTCCAAAACACAGCTTGCCAACCATTTCCACACCTTTGCTCGTCTTGCCCCCTGTGTCTAAAATCCCCTCCCTATTTCTCGACCTCCTAAAATTCAATTTGTTTTCCAAGGCCCAGCTGACGTATCTCCAAACTTTCCCTGCTCACTCTTCTTTAGTTTTCTGGCTCAGATAGCACTAAAGATAGCCTCTAAAACAAATGACAGTTCTCAGCCTTTTTTCCTGAGTTGAAAAGAAAACTTACTGGCAATGGGAATTGATAATTAAAATAGCATTGTGCTCTGGTGGCATAGCGCCTAAGGCATTTGACTGCTAATCAGAAATCTGGTGGTTCAAATCCACCAGCTGCTCCTCAGAAGAAAGATTGGGCATTCTACTTTTGTAGAGATACTGCCTCGGAAACCCAAGGAGGGGTCTCTATGAGTTGGATCTTACTGGACGGCTATGAGTTTTTATTACTCCAAGCACTCACTATACTCAGTAACTTACATGCATTGTTGTTGTTGTTAAGTGCCGTCGAGTCGTTTCCGACTCATAGCGACCCCATGCACAGCAGAACCAAACACCGCCCGATCCCGCGCCAGCCCCACAATCCCTGCTATACTTGAGCCCATCATTGCAGCCACCGTATCAATCCATCTCCTTGAAGGCCTCCCCCTCTT